CCTGCGGAGGAGCCTCGCGCGGCCTACTCGCTCGGCCGCCAGCCCGCGCAGGCGGGGATCGCTGCTCGCGCCGGCCTCTCGAGCCGGGGGGACGAGCGTTAGAAAGTCGGTCCTTAAGCGCTTAAGGTGTTGTTCCTATTTGGTTTTATTTCTAAGTCACTGCCCCCGAATCTGCTCAAACTTCCGGGCCACTTCCCGGTCCCCGACCTCCGCTCGTCTCTCGACTCGGGCCGAGCTCGGCCCAGGGTGCCCTTTGGCCTGCGGGGGCCGGGGGAGGGAGCCTGGAGGTGGTCGCCGAGCTGCCGTAGAAGCGGACTAAGTAGTACAAGAAACAGTCTATTCATGTGAGTAACCTTTTGCAGAAGCAGATACTGTATCTGGAAAAGTATCACTTTAACGCTGAGCCGCTGCTACTTTGTACGGAGACCGGGTGCCTTTGTTTCTTGGCTCGGGGGAAGGGGAACTGGGGAAGTGTAACTTTGATTCCAAATCGAATTCCCACCTCCAACAGCCAGATTACGAGTTGCCTCTGCCCTCCTTGCCTTGATGACAGCAGACATGGTGCAATGATAGGTGCAGGTCATTTTCGGTGAAGGTGTTGCGAACGCGCCACGGGTGACAGTCCAGATCTCCCCAGTTGCACGCCCAGTTGTAAGAACGACACGGGCACGGCAGGAGCAGTTGGAAACCAAGGCGGAGCATTAGGTATTCCGTCCGCCGGCACTGCACCCAGGCGGAGTCTCTTGTCTCGATTTCTTTCTGTTCTCTGCGGAGTTTCGAAGGCAGGCAGGTGAGGCAGGACTGGAAAGGGAAACCACTAACGGGCTACGTACAGCGCCGTGGACGCGCTAAGGCTCCGCACAGAGGGCCCTCTGTCCAGCAAAGCACAGGTGGAACATAATGTTGAAGGGTTACATGGCACGTGTTTCCATGATGGCTTTTGCAAATGATGAAGTCTGCACACAACTTCAAGTGTGTAGTTACATTGGATCCATGGAGATTCTCCCGTGAGTGCCAGTGCCCCACCCACTTACTTTCAATTACAGTTCGGGGCTCCTATGATGTGCCTTGACGGGGCAGGGATGGCCGTGCTCACTATTGAGTGTGGTGATGGGATATTTCACTTTAGAAAGTGTCTTTGGGCATCTTCAAGACGAAAACCAACTTGGGTTAGTTGCAGGTGGTCTGCATTCTTGAATCCAGAATGACATTGACTAACTGTTACAATGCTTATGGCTACATTTCACAGCTCTAATAGTGAAATGGGAGTCGAAGAAAAACCCAAACTACTTACATATGTAACAAGCTTCTCACGTGCCAGGCACTGCAGAAACATTGACATACACTGTGCACATCAACCGCCCAGCTATGTGACTTAAGGCAAGTAACCTAATCTCTCTATACCTTCCTTTCCTCGTATTGAAGTGGCAATGAAGCAGTTCATAGAAAATGTCCAGGAAATTCTCAGTCAGTTCTGACTATATTACTTTTTAGTTTTCCTTTGGTACATCAGGAAACTGAGGTAGAGAGACATGAATTGGTCTAAAGTCAAAAAGCTATCAAGTAGCTGACTGCAGTGCCTGCCTTCTTGCCCATGATTTAGTCAGGCACTGGTAATATTGCCCACTGTAATTGGGTGAGCGCATCATTTGACTTTAAATAAATGTACTCATGTGATGCATGTGCAAAATGGCTCAAACACCTGGAGATGAAAGGAAATCTATACTTAAAAAAAAAAAAAGACACAAAGGACTTCATTCTATAAAGAAAAATGTGATGGTCTTATTTCACTCCCCTAGGAAACCCTTCTGTCTCATCACCTTAGAACTGAAATTACAACATCACTCAGCACGGCTCTGCCAAGGCATCCAGGTGGCCCTCATAGCATCAGTTGCTCTTAGTACTTTGATCTCAACACTTCTTTGAATCCATTTGCATTTGCAGCTGCTTTTCCTCAAGCTGAGGTCTTTTATGTACATTGTACCGCATTCTGTACCGAGGTTTATAGTGAGGATTGAAGAGATCTCTCTTAGTTCAAGGGGTCGTGCATTTTGTGAACAAGTGTCACGTGCAGAAAACTCTTCTCGAGTCAAATCTGGGAAATGGTGAGGGAAACAAAATCGCTTCTTTCTGGCCTCTTACCTCTCAGAGCTTTCCAGGTGATACTGCACTTTAGGACTCTGCAAATTCTCCAAATTATTGAACCAAGGAAAATGTTGGGGACAAGGGTTCTAGGAACAGTCACGTTCAGGCACATGGTGTTTGTTAGGCTTTGATCTCAACCCCTCTGTTCAGCCTTTGCTTTCATCTCCTCAAAAGGTTTTTGGTCCTGACTCCTGTGGCACTTTCTTTGTCCCCTGACCCCTTCAGTTGCCTTTCTCTGGGCCTCTGTGCTGCCTCTGAAGGGTCACACCCGGAAGTCCAGGGTGACGTGCTGGGCTTGCTTCCCGGCTGCATCCTGCACACACGCAGCATGTTGGCTCTGGGGTCAATGCAGCACATCACATCGCCTTTCTTCCAAGACTCACGGGAGCTCAGAGTACCATCTCCGATTGGTTTGCACTCTAGTCCAATGGGATGACTTCCTTTCAGTGTCAATATAACCAATAAAATTGCATTTTCTTAATGAAAAAGGAATTGAAATGTCAATATGTTGATTGCTCCTAGGACCTGTCTGTGCTGAGATGGTCCGAAAACCCTAAACGCTTGTCTTGTGTGCTCCGAACCCAGACTTGGAAATCTTTCACCCCGACATCAGTGCATACTGGGTTTTCTTTGGTATCGCTCCTTTGCCAGTCCCTGGGGAGGGGAAGAATCAGAACAGTTTTATCTGCTAAATGGAAAACACATGGCTTTCCAGAAAAAAGGGTAACTGGAGGCTTCCTCATCCTCTACTCATGTCTGCCCAGTAACATATCATCCCTGCTCTTGAGAAGCTTACAGTACGTATTTGGATGGGATGGGACCAATCGTGCAATAAGCAGAGAGCACCGTGCAAGGCGATTTATAATTAAGGGCCGAATGTGTGCTTTAATTCAGATATAAATGCTCCAGGAGCCATATTGGAACAAGGAAATGGCACCAATTGCTAACCCAAGGAATATCAGTGCTATAGAAGAGAAATGACCTCATCATATTGGAGTAATAATTTTTAAACTACAGATTGTGACTCATTAGTGAGTAGTAAAATAAACTTCGTGAACTGTGATGGATTAAAACCAAAACCAAACCAACCCCACCGTCATTGAGTTGATTCCAACTGACAGTGCCCCTGGACAACAGAGTAGAACTTCCCCATAGGGTTTCCAAAGCTGTCAGCCTTTATGGAAGCAGACTGCCTCGTCTCTCTGATGGGTTTGAACTGCCACCCTTTTGGCTAACAGCTAGATGCTTTAGCCACTGTGCGACCAGAGCTCCTCAGCTCCTCAATAGTGATAAGAGGCAAAAATTTTCTAAAGTTTTGCTGGAGGCAGGTACCTACCCTGTGCCTTGGAGTCATGAGCTAGGCAGAGGGGTCCATGGAGAGCAAGCACAAAGGTATGTGTAGAGGTGGAAATGAGCCTGGTCTGAGGAGGGGGCAGTTTGTCCTTGCTACAGTGGTCCTGGCAGGACTTGCAGGTGACAGTAAGACAACGGGCTCAGGCGGATAGGTCAGTTCCGAGTCTAAGAATTTGAACTCATAATTAAAAAGAAGGGCCATGATAGATTCGTCAGCAGGAGGGCCTGCTTGAGGAAAGTGAACCTGGCTTTGCTGTACCGATTGATTGATTGATTGGGGGAGGAGCTGGAGACCAGTCCTGATAAAGGAATAATCCAGGCCTATGGTAATTTTGTCAGGATGGAGTGGAAATGGAAACATTTTACAGAGGAAGAAACAATAGCAGCTGAAGAAGGGGAAGACGTCTAAGTTTTGAGCGTGCAGAGTCAGAGCGTTGTGGCCGCTGAGAAAAGTCAGGATTGGGTGAAAGGAGAACGGCTTCCGTATTTGCTGGCAGGAGCTTACCTCGGGCTCAGGGCCTGACCCACTCAGCGCACATACGGTGGGCGATGCAGTTGCGATCCTCTGAATTTCTTTGCTGAAACCAGACCACTTGTTAGGCCACAAAGGGCTTTTCTACTCCGTTTTTGTGATTTGGGTGAAAGTTTACAGAGCTGATTGGTTCTCCACTCAACAGCTCATGGCCATTTTGTTTTGTGCCTTGGATTGCAATCCCTGCAGTGTGACAGCACCCTTCCCACTTCCTCCCTGCGGTTACTGGCCATCTCCCTCCGTCCTTCTTTCCTAGCCCTTCCTGCCTCCTGAACTTGAGTGCTGGGCACGTGCCGCCCTCGTGATTCCTAGGGTTGATGGTTCTAATAAGTGCCTACCTCCCTGGTATCACTGTTCACCTTCTAGGCCTGTCCGTCACTTGGCTGAAAGTTGAGCCACAGGGGTGAGTTCAGTTCCAATCCTGGAGGGTGACTAAGGGCCACAGTCTCAGGGCTGCCATTAGTTGTGGTCAGACCACTAAGCCTGGTTTTTGGGGGGTTTTTAAAATATGATTTTGTGTTTTGTTCCCCGTTTTTCTCCCGCTCTATGTGGGACCTCCTCTGTCCCTTTCCTGTGTTCCTTCTGCTTAGGCTCTTTCCTGGTCCCCATCAGATTGCATTCTAGCATCTGCTTTGCTATTGACGACCTCACCGGTGCTGAAGTTCCCTGCCCACCTAATGGGAATCTGAGGGCTCCGTTTTGTGAGGCAGGCTCAGAGTCCATATCTGTGCTGTGGCAAAGGGAGAGACACGGTAACACTGCACCATAAGACTACGAGGAGGGATCTGAAGATTCGCTTATGCAAAACGCAGGTCAAGCGACTGCGAGGTGCGCAGCTGCACGCTGGGGCTGGGCAGAGGATGGGACGCAATCAGCAGTGGAGTTAGTGCCCAGGCTGCCTTGTGGAGAGTCTGCCATCCAGTGGGAAGAGGGCTTGGGCAATGACAATTTCAATGTATGCCTCCCACCATGAAAACCTGGCTCCTGTAACATGCTGAACCACCATGAGCCCCCAAGTTTCTTGCAGCTCAAAACTTCCATGGACCTACCTTACATATTTCTCCAGACACGGAAAGCCCCTTCTGGAAGTGCCCAGGCACGATAAGTAGCCCTTCTCACCATTGGCCCTTTGCCCCTGAAACCACAAACTTTTCATATCCGTTTAGAAAGCAATGCACAGGATTTGACCTTCAGAATCTTGCCTTTCAAAATAGAAATTGCTTGAAAGTGGCTTCTAACTGGGGCGTAGGGCATGCGAAGTCCACTGGGCCCGCCACTGCTTTGTGACCGCACAGAGCGCGGGAGCACTGCTGAGCTTCCCGTGGGGCTGGGCCTCCGTGGGCACGGAAGTAAGTCATCTAGCCGAACCCTGAGGGCTTGGCAGTCACCAGCTAGCATTACCCGAGGCTCGGCCTAGGTGTCGCTCCAGTTGTCTCGCGGGGAACATCTCCTTTCCCCAGATCTGTGGCTACCAATAGACATATATTAGGTTTGGTTCTGGTTGGCGGTGCTAGTACCAGGTCACCTAGCTCACTGGTGAATTCATTCAAACCCAAAAAGTCACACTGTGTCCTGTGCGCGGGTGCTGCAGGCTTAGGTGGAGAAAAGCAGGGATAGAATTGGAAGCCAAAGCCCAGAATGGCAGGAGAGGATGTGGGGGCTCCGCCCGATCGCCTCTGGGTTCACCAAGAGGGCGTCTACCGCGACGAGTACCAGCGCACGTGGGTTGCTGTCGTGGAAGAGGTAACTGTTTGCATTGTCCTTCTCTCTTTTGCTTTCAAGCACCTTGGCTCCTAGCCAGTCTCAATTGTCTGAAGTCTTTTTGGTTTTGTTTTTGATCATTCCTTTCCTTAGGAGACGAGTTCCCTAAGGGCCCGAGTCCAGCAAGTTCAGGTTCCCTTAGGTGACGCAGCTAGGCCAAGCCGCCTCCTGACCTCCCAGCTACCTCTCATGTGGCAGCTCTACCCCGAGAACTGCTACATGGATAACAGCTCTCGCTTGTGGCAGATACAGCATCATCTAATGGTACACGTTCTGTTGAATCATCTTGCGTTGGGGCGGGCCTCTGACGGGTGCTCTATAAACCTCTCTTTCCGACAGGTCAGGGGAGTACAGGAGCTGTTGCTTAAGCTTTTGCCTGCTGAGTAGCCCGGTATGTATTCCGAGTTCTTCCCAACCCGCCTCCTTCCGTTTGGACTGTCTTCGGTGATTTTAATGATGGGTTTCTTTTCCAGGTGCTGGGCTTCTAGGAAGATATGCCTGTTTGTTCTGCTCAGTGTCTGGCAGTCACTTCATCCGCTCCTGCAGTGCACCCACCCTTGGGCCTGGGGGAGGGCGGGCTGACAGACTGCCGGAGGAAGCTTAGGAAGGGTGGGGAGGAGCGTGCGAGTGGCGCTGCAGAGGCAGGGCCGTGCAGGCAGAAGGCAAGTCAACACAAACGTGTAGTCAGGACCCAGTAACTTGCAAGTGACTCGGTGGGAAATTGCCGTAGAACCTTTACCTGGACAGCATCGGCTGGGACTGGGACGTGATGCGTCCACCAAAGCCAACGCCTGCTATCCAAGCCCTGCCCTGAGCACCAAGGACTGGGTGCTGATGTGGGGAAGACGGCGGCTCCTAGCAGCGCCAACATCTGTTTGTGGCTGATTTGCCCCGCTCCAAGTCAGCTGCCTTTCCTTCTCCCATCCTGTAAACATCCTAGGCTTTGCTGCAGTGTTCCCATGCCAGCACTGACCTAACTTGGATCTGCTGAGAACGTAGGGGCTCTGAAAGGAAAAGAGAGTGGTCACATTGGTAAAGATCGCCACAGAGGCTCCGGGGCCTTTTTCCTTCCTGAAATGGTGTCTTCCGACCATTAGCAGTTGCTGATCGAAATGATGGGAACTCAAACGCATGCTCTGGTTCTAGATCCTTTCAATAGGCTGCTTTCTGTGAGAGCACCAACCAACGTCTTAGCTGCTGTGAACCGGCCCCCTTCTCGGGAAGTCAATAGCACCACAGCGCTGCTTCCTAGCTCGGCAGTCCCTAGCTCTAAGGCATCTCCCGAGCTGACCTAGTCCTGCTAGTTTCTATTTATATGTATATATATATGCCCAGAAAGGCAGGTTTCCCTTTGTAAAACCTGGGGGCCATAGTAGCTGCCATTTTCTGAGTCCCCGCTGCCTGCTGGCACGATGCTAAGCACTTTGTGTGCTCTGAGGTAGGTACGGCCCCGTGTGACACCAAAGGACCAAGGTGAAAGGCGCCAGGAGGGGCACCATTGACGGCTCCTCCACACCTCACCTCCGTTAGGTTACGACGTTAAAGACAAGTCAGCCGAACTCAAGGTGATCGTTCCCGTGTAAAGCCATTGCTATCCCCCAGATCAAATGAAACGGATGTTATAAAAATTGAGTCGATTCAGCCTCTGAGTGGGCAGAGTTGTGTTTTTTTAAGTATAATGATTTTCCAGAAGAAGATTCCCTGTAGAGGGGCTTGAAAGTCTGTCGGGGGAATAGGCAAATTAACAATCCTTTTTCTTGTTTTAGTTTTCTGGATATGCCACAGAAGGATCCATGCCAGAAACAAGCCTGTGAGATACAGAAATGCTTACAAGGTAACATACGAAGTGCTTTTTTGTCTTTAGCTCTGAATCAACTACAAAAGATCAGTTGTTAGTTTATCAGCAACCTGTAGGAACTCCTCTCTTAGAATGTAATGTTGCTGCAATTTAGTCATCCTTAAAGGCAAAAAAAGATGGCAACTAAAAAGCAGATTTGGTGTGATTTTCCCATTTGGTTTTCAGACAGCTACTAAGTTTGACCAAATGTTAGAGGATTGCATTTTTGGAATCAGTAAATGATTATTGGCAGAAAAACCAATAGGAAAAGCTATGAGGCTGTCAGATTTTGAATATTGGATTTTTTTTTTAATTTTTATTGTGATGTGGGTGAAAGTTTACAGAGGAAATTCACTTTCCATACAGCAGCTCACATGCACTTTGTCTCATGACATTGACTGCCGTTTCCCACAATGCAACAGCTCCCCTCCCACTTCCCCCTCATAGTTACCTCTTCCCTGTGTCCTTCCCTCCCATGCACTCCTGCCCTCTGAGCTGTCTCCCTATGTGAAAATTGGATTTTTGATCATATTGTCCATAATGAAAGTAATAGATGAAGATGAATGCTCATGAAAATGTAGAAGAAAAAAGGTTTAGAGTTCCCCCAAAAAACAACCATTGTTTGTGTATTTTCTTTGACTGCACTTTCATTCTTAGACTTTCCATTTTATGGGGTAAGCAACATTTTATCAATTCTTTTAATCTTATATGTATCATGATGCTATTTTAGTCATCCTTGTCTTTCCCTCCCCCAACTTTGAGAGGAACAAAAAATGTTTTTCACGTTTAATTTAAAACAAAACCCATTGCCATAGAGTTGATCCAAAGTCATAGGCTTTGCAGGTCAAAAGTTGTCCGTTGCCTGTTGTGTGTTTTGAGGGGTGGGTTCATACAATCGATTTAAAAACCATGTTTGGCTCACAGTCTGGAAACAAAAAGCAGAACTGGTGGAGCAGGGCAATAACTGCCTGAAATTCTCTCCAAACCCATGTGGGGCACATGCATCTGTCTCGTTCCTCCAATTAACAAAAGGCTTAGGTGACCAAAAAGAGAAAAAGGTTAGAAACTACTGGCCTACATAAGCCAGTAACTCAACCTCAAAGAACAGGAAATTACATTAAAAGTACCTTTTGACCACTTTGTAAATCCTGTTTTTCTCCCTCATTAACCTGTTGACAAGTCTCTAACCAGAAAGAACTCAGTGGCCTTGGGTAGATCCTCTGGCTTCCAGCGATGTCAGTCTGCAGTTGACTGGCAATGGTTGGGAGGAACAGAGCCAAAACCCCCAGAGCTCAGTCCCCCGAGATCATGACCAGAGTATGCCCGTCTGTGTTTCAGCCAACAACTACATGGAATCTAAATGTCAGGCTGTCATCCAAGACCTGCGTAAGTGTTGCGCTCAGCAACCCAAGGGAAGATCTGTCGTCTGTTCCGGATTCGGAAAAGAAGAAGAGAAGCTGCCACTAAAGTCTCAATCAGCCAAGTTCTGCTGAGAAGCTGAATGTTGCGCCCTGTTCACCACATTCTACTTAGTTAGCCTCCTGACTCTTCCTTCAGGCCAGGTGGCAGCATGAAAAAGTCAACTCTAAAAGTTCGTGAAGATGCCATCTCTTCAGAGAAGACAAAATACAAAACAAAATATTAAAATAAAAA